TGTAATACAAAGACAAAGGCAAACATATTGAAAACAAGCAAAATATCAAACTTGTTACTATTGTCTTCCTTTTCTCTATTTCAAATGACGGTTCTAGGCTGACGGAAGCTCATAATAACATCAGTGGACCTCCTTCCACAGGAAACACAACTTACGCCAAATATGGGCATGTTTCCTACGCTGTCTGAGATAAGACCTCCTAACACTACCGTATCTGCACATTACTTCAATGAAAAACGTGCTCCGAAAAAGAAGTAAAATCTACATGGAAATTCAATTATAGTGAAATAATCGAAGCGACATGAACCCATAAAATCAATCTATCATAAAATTCAGCAAATGCATCGTGCAATAAATGTATTACTCCTGTCTTTCCCAAAAATGCTCTCGCGAAATGAGGTCGGGCATTCGGTGCACCTGTGCTTTAGGGGCTGGCAAATACACTATGATAGTATATATACATAAAGGTACGTATGCATGGGCTTCCGTGTGTTTAATCGTATAACACGAGTGAAAACGCAGAAAAAAACACCCCACAAACCAAATTTATTGCAATATGAAACCTTATCTTTCAATAAATTCACTCTGTCAAGCATATGAATATAGTTTCCAACCTCATGGCTTTTCAGAATGGTTAATGGTCAATAACACTTCATGTAATCCAATATAATGTAACAATAATAATGTAATAAATAATATAATTCAAGTAACAATATCAGCCCAAATGATGTACTTCTGAAACATGTGTCTTATTCATACAGTATGTCCATCGACAATGTGCTTAGGAGACAAGAAAAATCTTAGGCCCTTGTAACGCTCTATAGACTTTTTATATTTTCTATATCACGGTCCCTAGAACATCTACGAAAACAAATGGGTAAATGAACACAAATAATGAAAAGTAGACAAGTAAACCTCTCTTTGTTTGATCTATTTTCAACAATTTCGGACTCAGTAATCAGAGCTGGTTGCCCAAACACAGCCAAGTGAGACGTAAATATGCCAATGAAATTCTCAGAAATATTATATCTTGGTCTTGCTGGTTTACATATTACACGTATGCCTCTATCAAGATCCTTTTGATATTGATGTGTATATATAGGCCTTTGATATTGATGTCTGTATAGCCTATCCTTATCTAGAACCTTGCAATGTTGATGTAAGCTAACCAACCTAACCTAACCTAACGTTTCCTATCATAACCTAAACTTTCCTATGCCTATCCTATTCTATCCTAACGCTAACCTGAAAGCTTTCCTATCCTCCTAACCTATCCTATCCTAACCTAACCTAACCTTTCCTATCCTATCCTAGCCTAGCCTATACCTGTCTAAGCTCTCTCGATATTGGTAGAACCTATCCTCGAGTAGATTCTCAGAATTGATGTTATGTATAAAACGGTTTTATTTCTATCTATCTACTGATTATGTAGGATCTACTCTGATCCTCTCAATATGATGTTTGTATGACCTCTCCTTGTATAAACAGTCGTAGAATTGAAGTTCTGAAATAAACTATTTGATTTCTATATATCTATTTATCTATCTATGTATTTTTACAGTATTTTAGTCATAAATCAGGTGCCAAAGAGTGTTCTAAAACAATTCGTATTTTTCTCAAGATATCTTACTGCGAAACAAAAACAAAACAAAACAAAAATAAATGGTTTGTATTGTAAGTTCAACCTTTTCCTTGTCCTAAACGGTATGTACGTAGCCAGGGGCGTGGCTGAGAATATTTAAAATATCAGTAATGAAAGAGATATCGCTGAACAGAAACATAAGAAAACAGGCGGTTGTTCAGAATGACTCGTTCACTCCTTTGCACACACAAAAAGAAAACAACACAAACAACAAACCAACACAGACAGCAGACCAACAGAAATAAAAATATAATAGCAAATTGTAAATATAACAATCTGTAAATTGCCAATGGATCCTGTGTGAATGAGGATACGTGAGTGCAATGTTTTCACAAATATCCACAATAAACAAATACTTACAACTGATTATAATATCTGCATCAGTCCCAGTGAATATGCAAGATTCATCATAACTCAAATGATAAACAGCGTGAATAACAGTAGCCTATTAATGATTATCAAAAATATTACAAGATACAGTTGAACTATCATACGATTACATTTGTTATTGGCCATCTAGTAAAAAAGTGTAAACTCAAACACACACACAGATATGTTTCTGTGTGTGTATGTACATATACATACACACACGCAAATGCATATGCATACATACACATATGTACACAGTGTATGTGCGTGCATGCGGATGCGTGCGTCCGTTTGTAAGTGTGTATTTGTGCGTATATGTGTAGGGGGGCGTGCATGTGTATACGTGCGCGCGTGTGTATGTATGTATGTATGTATGTATGTATGTATGTATGTATGTATGTATGTATGTATGTATGTATGTATGTATGTATGTATGTATGTATGTATGTATGTATGTATGTATGTATGTATGTATGTATGTATGTATGTGTGTGTGGGGGGGGGGGGGTGAGCGCTCGCGCGTGCGTGTGAGCGTGAGTAAATAGGCCTGCATATCTAGCTACAACATATTTGGAAAAAAAAAAAAAATGCCGAATCTAATCTGATTTACTATACATATAGTGCTATCGATGTGCGGATATTTAACAAGAAGTAGTGTAAAATAAAAAACTAAAAATATATAAACTGCAACTTACACAACAGCAAAATTACACAGCTTCTATTTTTTCTGTCATGTTCATACATATGTGCAGTTTCTAAATAATAAATACACACCTGCAAGTCCTAGTAAACTTATCTAATCTGTCGCATCATAGCTAAAATACATAAGGAGAAAGTAACACTCACAAGACCGATATGTGCTCACTCCTCTGTCTCTGTCCAAGTGTAGGTGTTTAGTTCCAGAGCGCGCCGATGTGTGGCGCCACCGGTAACTTGGCGGGCATTTTTTAAATTCCAGCAGGGTATCGACAGAATATTGAATATATATATGTATATGTATATATATATATATATTATATATATATATATATATATATATATATATATATATATATATATATTTTATATACATACATATATATATATATATACATATACATATGTATATATGTATATGTATATATACATACATACATATACATATATATAATATATATATATATATATATATATATATATATATATATTATATATATATATATATGTATATTATATATATATATATATATATATATATATATATATATATATATATATATATATATATATATATATATATATATATATATATATATTATATACATATATACACATGATACATGCATGTATGTGTGTATATACTTAATGTGTTTGTGATTGTGTGATTATATATATATAATGTATTATATATATATTTACATATGTTTGTATATGCATATATACATACATACACATATATGTGTATATGTATATATGAATGTATATATATAATATATAATATATATATATATATATATATATATATATATATATATATATATGTATGTATGTATGTATGTATATATATCACAAGACAGCTTTATCATCTTCCTTTCTCATCGTTTTTTTTCTTATTTGTAAAGCCCTTTCGCACAAAGTGGCATATCAGTGTTGCGACGCTCAGTCCGTCAGTGTCAGTGAAAAAACATCGTTCTTTGAATTCAGCGACGCATTCCACACACGTCCGGCGCAGTACCGTGTTTTGACTCTCAGTGTCAGTTCCGTCTCCGTGCCGTGAGTTGAATATTGTCGTCAACTCATCTATTTTTTACGGACGATGGCGAGTGTTGTGATCTCAACAAATATGATGATGAATTCAGTTTTTTTGAATACACTATATATAAAATAAATGCCAAATTTGTATGCCGTTAGGAAAATCTGTAGATAAAAATAGATACATATAATAAGTAGGCCTACGACAAAATATTTTATTTAATCTAAAACAAACTATAATCGTCATCTCGGTGCTACAGCTTTTCTCCAATTAATCTTGCTTGTTCAGGTGAGCCTGTTTTAATACACTACATGATGAAATAATTTTAGACATTCTGAAGTTAACTCCTTGTACAGCTTAGCAAACTCTACTGCTCTCTCTTTACTTCCACGTTTCCTGTGCCCACTTTCTTTTCTACGGCTTATACTTAGCCTCAAGAACTGTGGCAATCATTGTCAATTACGCCTGAAAACATTGCTATCTTGGAAGTCATTGATTTCATGCTGTACGGATTCACTACGGATATGTGAAAACGCGTCACTGAAACGTCACGGATTTCACTGACACTGAACTAACACGGCACTGATAAGCCACTGATATATGTGAATCGACCTTTTATACTGTTGTTGTGCGTGTGTGCACAAATGCAATTCATGCATTCCGTTTCTCTGAGGTATTAAGGGTATTGAGTGAATACTCACATATTAAAAATAATGATTTATATGAAGATTCATACAAAATAGCTGCCATTTCCAACGAAGCGCAGGACCAGCGTTTCGGACGCATCCTTTTGTCACTGCCTCCGTTTCTTTACTGAATTTACATACAACGGACGTAAAACACTGACTGGAAGACGAACTGAGCAACATATGCATCGATTTGATTATCAGTGGGTAAAATCTCGAGGCTTCCGATATGCAGTGTAGAGTAATGCCCGTGATGAATATAATCCTATTGTAAATACAAACATCCAATTATTGTAGTAATTTGAAAACAATAAACCTGTTATTGTCTCTTAAAGAGACATGAGAGCTGATGGACTTCAAGTTGAGTTGTTGATAGTGATACTAGAGAATTCCCTCAATATGAAGGTCATTGATATATGATAACAAGTCATAACAAATTAACTCAAAATATTGACCCTTACACATAAAAAACAACCTACACCACTTTAAATTAAACCTAAACCTTAAACTACGGACTCCTTCCATACTCCCCACACAACCTACAAATCACTTTTGTCTGTCACACTGACCCTCACTCTCCTGTAACTTTATTTCCGGTCTGTCTTCTGTTTCCTCTCCGGCCGTTCCTCGTCCTCGATGCGGTGGTCACGGGCGCTAACGGACCTCTTTTGGTGGTCCTCTCGGCCGTTCTCTCTGGGGGTTCCGGGGGTTCACTGTTGGGTATCATGTTGTCATCGGGAATCTTGTCCTGTGGGAATGGGTCGGGTTCGGAGAGTCTCGTCGTGGTGCTTTGACTGGCTTTCGGGGCTTCGGTCGGGGCTTCGGAGCTCGTGTAGAAAGGGTTAATTCCCAGGTCGCGGTCTCTGAAGAACGGGTTCCTCACGAACAGGTCAGCCTCCGTGGTCGTCCGGAATTCGGGGAGGATGAAGGATGGAGGATCGAAGGCAGCGGAGACCACGATTCCCGCGCGAGTTGAAGGACCACTTGGCGCGCTCCCGTTTCGCAAGGGTGAGCCCGATGTACGACCAAAGGCGCTACCATTCCCGGGAACAGGAGGAACACCAACGTTATTCTTCCTGGTGTCTGTTCCGGGAGGGAGAGGCACCGCGTAGTCTTTCATTCCGAAGTAAAGTTCAGACATCAGTGGGTTAACCCCTTGGCCGCACCAGCCGTTAAAATCGTCCTTTGGGAGAAGAGAATACAATAAGATTAAAAATCATATTCTTTGTACACACTGAAATATGTAAAGGTTTAGTGTTTATTGAAACACGTATACTCGTGGCTAATATTAACTTGACCCAGCTAAATCAAGTTGCACTTTAATATTTTTCAGTCTGTTTATCCCATCTTGATTACACGCCTTACAACTCGTATAACCTCAAACAAATTGCTTTACGACTCATAACTCCGGCCAGTAAAGAATCCTAATCCACTCTCATGCGAAAAAATTAAAAGGATCAGAGGCAATTTGCAGCGGATCGATCCCCTTCCTGTTTCCTTGAATCCTTTCTATTTTCAAAAAATCATAGAAAACGGGAAAACCTCACGCCGGGGGATCACACAGGCACAGACTGTTATAGATTTTCTCATCGCGTCGACTCTGAACGTTGTGGTTATGTTTTCTTTCTATCCTTTTTCGGGGGAATTAGGATGACCTGTTTTTTTCCGGAAATTATGACTGGCGGCTCATTACCTGATCGATGGCCCACGTCATGGCGCCGCCGAGGCCCCGGGACCGAATGAAGTCCATCTTTACTCGGACGCTCGGAAGGTCGTCGTAGCCCACCCATTGATCGCCTGCAGCAGAGGAAACAAAAATATTTAATTCTAAAAACAAACATAAAGAAATGTATGTTTAATTAAATATAGTGCATTATATATGTGCGGATATGTAGTATGATGAATTTAATATCAAGTGATATACAATACATAGTATTGATTTAATCTTCAAGGCATAATAAATAACATGGGTTTAATCTAAAGACGTGAACAATAAATGGTATGGATTTTACCTAAAGTGATATATGAATAAATGGTTTTAATCTATGGCGGGGGACAATAAATGGCATAGGTTTAATCTAAATTAATTGATGGTCATTTGTAAGCTAAGGTCCCTTGTAAGAATCATGTCTAGCATATCTAACATTAGATTGCTAATGAAATTCTCAGTTTCGCTATATGCAAATTATATGAATAATGATATCGATTTGGCAAAAGAAAATAAATATAATCCCTAAATGATATGCAATACCGATGATATCGATTTGGCAAAAGAAAATAAATATAATCCCTAAATGATATGCAATACCCGTTTTCTTTCAAAAAATGCATCAACATACTACTTAACGAGTGTTGCTTCAGCTGCGTCCACCACTTCGATAAATGAAACTAAAACACTTATTAAAAAGAAATGGAAGGTTTGGGCATAGTAATTACCTCTGTAGGCGAAAGGCACCAGTCCAAAGGCATCGTATTCCTGATTCCATTCTGGGTCGTCGATGAGATATCTACATACCTGCAGAAATCATTAGCATGTGTTCAGGTAGAATCTAAGGTCTTTGCAGCGCATTGTGAAAGTGTTTTGATCGACAAAAGGTATCAACGCTTATATATATGCACTCTCTCTCTCTCTCACTCACACACACACACACACACACACACACACACACACACACACACACACACACACAAATCACTGTGAGAAGTCACAGTCAATCACATATAGAATATGATTCACTAATAATCATAGATTCACAAACATAACATTCCCTTTACCATCTCAGACACATACAACTAGAGAAAACAAATCTCACTGATCTTTCCACACTCACTCCCGCAACGAAAACAACGCGCTCACTTCAAAATAAGCCATGAAGCCTTCAGCGCGAGTGTAAGGAGCCGGCAGACCCCGTCCGGAGATGGCCGAGCCCATGGTGTTGTTGGCAGGGTCCAGCAGCGTGTAGGTCCTGCCGTAGAAGGGGACCCCGAGCACGAGCTTCTCCTTGGGGCAGCCGTAGTCCAGCCACAACTGCACGCCGTCGTTCTGAGGGGATTAACAGACCGCGACGATGAAATCTGAGAGTGCGTGTTACTCTGTAGGTGTGTGAATTTTAAGGATATAGTTAAATGAAGTGTGTTGTTAATATTATTTGTTTTAATATACGCGTCTTTGTATGTATAAGGATTAGTAAAGAAATTTCTCTCTGTTAGGAAACGTCTATCATTTACATAGTTGATGACTCACGACGTTAAACTGGCTGTAGTAAGGTGAATCGTGGGGTCGTGGGTACATGTGGCTGTGGACGTCTGCAAAACCCACCCAGTCACCTCTTAGGTCGTACGTCATGAGGTGTACTGCATCCAGGGCCCTGTGGTCGGTTAGAAAACGAACATTTTACATTCAAACTTCTATGCCTGCAGTTCTTTTTCGGAGTTTCAGTTAGTTTCATTTCCCTAACGTTTTTTAAAAGACGCTTTTTGGTTTGGGATTTAATTTTTTTACTAGATAAGATGCAAAATGAATTGAACAGAGATACACTCAGCACCACAATACAGCAAGCGTGTTCTTTGTCGCATTTATCAACGGTACTTGCCTGCACAGTTGGGGTACATGGTAACCAGCGTCTAGACGAAATCTGGACACTGGAACGCCTGCTGTCAACTCCCAACCCAAACCCACTGCTGTGAAGGCTGCCCGTAGTTCCTCGATCTGTTGGAGTGACGATATTTCCTTCACTTTTTTTTGTATGTTTTTAAGCTCTTGTTTCGCGAGTGGTTGTTTTTTGTGTGTATGTGTAATAAAACTGAATTTCCGATTGCCAGAGTGTGTGTCGTGGTTACAATATATTGTTTTGCCTTTGTCACGATGAGAATAATCCAAGCGTGCGATGGGTATTCTTATATAATGCTTTACTGATGACTTTGTCAAAAAACAAAGGGAAGTGGTGTGGTTCTTTAAGGGTTTGTGGTGTTTACCCAGCAGCTTTTTATGTACGTTGTTTAATGTTTATCTCGTATGTTTGTTTTATGTATGTGTAACTTCTGAATCGCTTATGCAGAATTAGACAGTACGGTAATATAAGCCATTTTCTGCAGACAATACAGTAATACACATTTTTTCATAGATAATACAATAATTTAGACCTTTTTCTATAAACAAAACGATGATATATAAAATTTTCTATAGACATCTCAATAACATAGACCATCTCCTATAAACAATACAATAAAATGACCCATTTTGAACCGTATTCATGTTGACAAATGTAGAAAGGTATGAATGAAAATTAAGATCTTCACAAGACAAGAGATGTATTTGACCGGTTTCGAATACATCTTCATCAGAAATACATGCATTTCTCACGAAGATATATTCGAAACCGGTCAGATACATCTCTTGTCTTGTGAAGATATTCTCATTCCTACCTTTCTACATAACCAATTTTCCCATTTGACAATACGATAACGTGACCACTTTCTGAAATGGTCTTCGGTCTCACCAGGGCCAGGAAGTTGTCCTTATCCTGGGGCACTCCTCCTCTCTCTGGTGACCCTGGATACTCCCAGTCGAGGTCAAGTCCGTCGAATCCATAATCCCACAGGTACTCTGAGGCCAGAAATGTATTGGATTAGAACATGCGTTATCTCTAATCACGCTAATTTGGGTGTTTTTGTGTTGTTTTATCATGAGGTGTTTTGTATTGTTTTATTATTAAGTGTTTTTGTATTGTGCTATCATTGTTTTGTATCGTTTTATCATTGTTTTGTATTGTTTTATTATAAGGTGTTTTGTATTGTTTTATCATGTGTTGTGTATTGTTTTTATATCTTAAGTGTTTTGTATTGTATTATCATTGTTTTGTATAGTTTTATTGTAAGCTGTTTTATATTGTTTTAGCATGAAGTGTTGTGTATTGTTTTATCATCAAGTGTTTTGTATTGTTTTATCAAGTGTTTTGTATTGTTTTATCATTAGGTGTTTTGTTTTGTTTTATCATGAAGTGTTTTTGTATCTTTTATCAGTAAGTGTTGTGTATTGTTCTATCATCAAGTGTTTTGTATTATTTCATCACTCAGTTTTTTTAAACTAGATTTATCATTACACTGATGACATAAGATGACACACAGAAGGTAAAAAATATATGTATTTTTTTTTTACCAAGACTTCAGACACACCAGTCGAGTGAATCAAAAACATCTAAATCGTACAGAATCACTCACGGACGACGCTGTTGACAAAGGCTTCTCTCCTGGGCTTGAGGGCGGCCAGCTGGGAGTACTTGGCGCCGCCCTCGTTCCAGCCGCCCACCGCCAGAAGCACGCGGAGGGCGGGGTTGCGGGCGCGAAGTCCCACCGTTCTCTGGAAGCCGTTGTTGGTGACGTCACGCTGGGGGGCGAGGGACATGTGTTTGGGATTTTTTTTTTTTTTCATGTGGGGTTATTTGTGTCTTGTATTTTCTCAGTTTTTTCCTTGTTTCTTGTTTTCTCTTTCTCTTTCTCTCTCGCTCTCTCTCTGTCTATCTATCTATATATATATCAATTTATTCATTTACACACGCACACACACACACA